TTTCTTTCTTTCTTTCTTTCTTTCTTTCTTTCTTTCTTTCTTTCTTTCTTCTTCTTCCTTTCTTTCTTTGTCACACACCTGCCTTTATTGTAAACAGCAGGTGAGACACTTGTAGCAATGATAAAAAATAATAATTTACAAAAGCAGGGACTTGGTGAGCTGCCTGGTGGGTACCCTTGGAGACTCATACATAAATGCCAACCCAGGGCACAAGGAAGAAGACTCCAAAGCCCATGAAGAGTGAGGCCACCAAGGAGATGAGGAGCTCCTTGTAAATGCTGCGTGTGTACTTATTGGAGGTGACCTCGTAAATGAAGAACCAGGCGATAAAGAGCATGCCAATGGCCGGAAGTACCTCAGTCAGGTGTGGGAAGACAGTGGGGTTCACGAGGCTGTCATTGTCATTATCATTATCATTATCATTATTATTATTTGGTAGGGCTTTTCGTACATTGAGTGTGTCCCCCTCCTTGGCCTCATACATGCAAGGAAAGCCCTGCACTGAGCTACATCACCAGAACTTCTCATTTTAAAATGCCTCTGCCAGCTGGACACAATGGCACACGCCTTTAATCCCAGAATTTAGGAGGCAGAGGCAGGTGGACCTCTGTGAGCTCAAGGCCAGCCTGGTCTACAGAGTGAGTCCAGGACAGCCAAGGCTACACAGAGAAGCCCTGTCTTGAAAAAGCAAAGCAAAACAAAACAAAACAAAAAACCCAAACCAAATGCCTCTGCTTTACTTGAGCCGGGTGCCAGCCAGCTAGGATTGCCCTACCCAGGTGAAAAAACAGGGAAATTAACAAAATTTCAGCATTATGAGGCTGAGGAGGGCCACACAAGATCGCTTGAGCTATCTCAAGATAATTTGGCTCAGTACCTGCAACATTCCAACTCTCCACAATCACCAAGTTTGAACCAGTCCATCAATCTTGGAGAACCCTTGTGTAGCTGTGTAGCTGTTTTTCTCTTCTATGAAGTGCTATTCAAGAGCTCACCCACACACTGGGAATTTCAGAACTATCAGAACAAATACTGATAGGAAGGCAGGGAGACAGAACCCCTGTATGCCGTGGGGAATGAAAACCGGCAAAGCCCCCGAGGAACTGAGGGTGGAGATTACTCAAAACGCTAAAAATTGAACTTCCAGGTGCCCTAGCCATGCCATTCCCAGATACTTACTCGAAGGACTATAAGTGAAGACACCCCAGGACAGGTGGGTGTTTATTACTGAAGCCGTCACCATGGCGGCAAACAGAACCAGGTGTGATGCCTGGTGAATGGATGAACAGAACATGGCACTCAGAGACGATGGGCTTTATTCAGGGATAAAGACAGTTTTAATCATAGGACTGTGAAGATGGCCGAGCAGGTAAAGGTTCCTGCCACCAAACCTGAAAGCTTGACAGACTGCCTTCTATCCCCAGGACCTACATAATGGAAGAAAAGAACTGACTCTCCCAAGTTGTCCTCTGACCTTCACACAGGCACCATGGCATGCACTCACCCACAGCCAGGACGCCCCCCAGAACTCAGTAAATAAACACACACACACACACACACACACACACACACATTTTAATAGTGCTGGACTCTGGAGGCAGAGACAGGCAGATCTCTGTGAGTTGGAGGTCAGCCTGCTCTACATAGTGAGTTCCAGGACAGCCAGCACTACATAGAGATCCTGTCCCAAAATGCAAAAAAACGCAAGATTGTAGAGCACCTGTCTGACATGTGCCAGCAACACAAAAACCAGGCCTGGTAGTGCTCACTCTTTTTTCTTGAGACAGGGTTTCTCTGTGAAGCCTTGGCTGTCCTGGACTGGCTTTGTAGATGAGGCTGGCCTCAAACTCAGAGATCTACCTGCCTCTGCCTTCCTGAGTGCTGGGATTACAGGTATGTGCCACCGCGCCTGGCTGGTGCTGTTCACTCTTTATCCCAGCATATTGGGTGGTAGAAGCAGAAGATTGGAAGTTCAAGGTCCATAGCAAGTTTACGGTCAGCCTGGGTTGATGCTATCTCAAAAACAAACACAAACAAAAAAACCTCTGTGTCCAAAACCACAGCCAGGGTCAGTGCAGGGTACAGGCTGTGGCAGTGCGATCTCTTCCTAAAGTTCGCTCTGGAGTGTCCCTTTTGAGCCACGGAGAGTGACTTTACCTGCGTTACCTGGGCCACACAGGCAAGTTCAGTCACGAGTTCCTGGAGTTTGAGTTCTAACCTGAGAATGGTGATATGCCAACAACAGCAATTACAAAAATGATGACATGATCAGGAAAGAGGCTTATGTACATAAAAGTGTGATGAAAGAATTCAAGAGAATTGTTGATGGCAGCGAAATCACCAAAAGAGATGGTGGCTCCCTTCTATCAAAGTAGGCTTGAAGTCATCATTGGAGATGAACACACTTCCTTTACAGCATCAGAAATTGGTTCCCTTATTGACGCTAGTCTGAGGATCCAGAAGGCTTACGAGTGTTTTATTATCTTGTCCAGGACCTGAAGTGTATAGTCTTCAATCTTATTGGATTACATTTCAAGATTAAACCAATCAAAATTGGATATTGTGGACACAAGGGGTGGGAGTGTTTAGTAACCATAATTAGGATTTTTTTCTGTATGTTGGGGCAGTTTTTATAAACAATAAATGATGGTCTTTAATAAAAACAAAATAAAATAAAAAAAAAAACACAGCCAGAACCAGTAAGTGTATTGTTGGGGAAGCAAGAGTCAGTGACCGGTCAGATAAACTCACCGTGAGGTAATTCCTGTTTTGGTTTTTTGAGACAGGTTTCTCTGAGTAGCTCTGGCTGTCCTGAAACTGTCTCTGTATACCAGGCTGGTCAAAGATTCACCTTCCTCTGCCTCTGCCTCTGCTGGGATTAAAGTCCTGTGTCACCACCATAGGCCCAGCCCCCAATCCCCACTCCCACTGGGTTTCTCTATATAGCCCTGGCTGTCTTGGAACTTACTATGTAGACCAGGTTCTTGCCTCTGCCCTGAGTGCTGGGATTAAAGGCAAGCTGGCATGAGGTAACACCTTACACGATTGGATGAGAGCAGCTGAGGAAGTGAAGGGCAAGGCTAGGAGACTGAGGGTCAGAAAGGAGCACACACAGCTCCTGAGGGAGAATTGTGATGGGAGAGCTGCCACACTGGGTCCTCACTGACCACCTACTGGGGGGTCTGGGGTCTGGTGGGCAACAGAGTCAGCAGCCCAGAAGAGTTTCTGACAACATCCAGGACAAAGCAAGAACAAACACACAGGCAGGGCTCACTTCGGTAACCACGACCTTCAGAGAACTGCTGCCTCATTTCTGTCTTCCTGATCTGACAAGAATTTGTCTTCTGGCCAACGCTCACCTGAAACCATTCAGGGGAGGGGATTCTGGGAAAGAGCTCTCACGTAGCAATGTTCAAATACTACAAACCACAGGGCTTTGTAAAATGTGAACCTGAACGGGATCCTGGACCGTGAGAAAAACCTACAAAGATGGGAAGGGTCCTCTTGTGGTTCTAAAGCATAATGCGTGGGTTTTTGTTACGGGGTAAGGAATCCCCCTCAGATCCTCTATGCCTGTCAGCACATTACCTTTATGAGGAGGAAGGGGCGTTGTTTTTGTGAAATTGCAGCTATTTTTTTTCCCCACACAGGGTTTCTCTGTGTAGCCCTGGCTGTCCTAGAACCAGCTCTGTAGACCAGGCTGGTCTCGACTCAGAGATGCAGACACCTGCCTCCACCTCTTGACTGCTGGGGTTGAATAAACACATGTACCACTGCCGTTCAACCAGCAATCATTTTTATATAAACTAATTTTAAAGAGATGCTTTAAAGCCAGGTGGTGGTGGTGGTACACGCCTTTAAGCTCCAGCACTTGGGAGGCAGAGGCAGGCAGATCTCTGTGAGTTCGAGGCCAGCCTGGTCTACAGAGCTAGTTCCAGGATAGCCTAAGGCTATGCAGAGAAACATTGTCTTGAAATGCCCCCCCACCCCCGCCAAAAAAAAAAAAGGGAGAGGTGGTTTCTTTTTGGTTTTTGGAGATAGGGTTCTCTCTGTAGCCTTGGCTGTCCTGGACTTGCTTTTTAGACCAGGGTGGCCTAGAACTCATAGCCATTTGCCTGCCTATGCCTTCCCAAGTGATGGAATTATAGGCATGTGCCACTGTGGCCGGCTAAGAGATGATTTAAAAGGATGATTTTGTGTTTACAATAGCCCAGTGGTTGTATAAGAGAATGTCATTTAAAAAGAGAGAGAGAGAATGTCATACTTAGAAACGATGTGCTTGGACTAGAGGTAGCGTCTTACCTAGGAAGTTCTGGGTTCAAACCTTGGCACCACCACTAGGAGAAAGAAACAAAACAAACAAACAAAACTGTGTAGGCCAGACATGGTGCTGCACACCTTGAATCCCAGCACTTGGGGTACAGGGGCATGGGGCTCTCTGTGGTTACATAATGAGTTCCAGACCAGGCAGGGCTACATATTCAGATCCTGTATCAGTCCATCAATCGATCAATATGGAGAGATAGATTGATAGACAATAGATGAGATAGATAGAGACAGATGATAGATAGGTGGATGGATGTTAAATAGATGAGATAATTGGTGTGCTTGAATGTTAATTAAGGGTGAACTTTCAGTAGGTCAGCTTTTACTCATTTTTCGCTACCCGTTACACGTTGCCTTTGCCTGACCTTTTCTGTAACACACCAGTAAGGAAGGTGTGGACTCCTTTTATTACCTTCCCAGTCAACCTCTACTGTCTCGACACACAGGCTGCTCACCATCCTTTCGCTCCCAAACACCCAGCAAGACTCTGAGGCACCATCACACTGCACTAACCCTGTGCTCTGGTCCCCTCTCCTTCTAATCCTGGAAGCTTCAGAGGACAGTCTGCTGTCTCTCAGGCCTCAGCAGCTTCTCCTGAGCCTGGTCCAGTCAAGGATGACCTGTTCAACCTCCTTCAGTTCACATAGGAGCCAGGGAGACAGACCTGTTAGCCCAGCTACTTGGGAGAATTAAAAGTTCAAGGCCCACTTGGACTACAAAGCAAATTCTAGGCCAGCCTGGGAGATTCAATGAATACTTTCCCAAAAATCAATCAATCAATATTAAAATAAATTAAAAGGGAGCTGGGGCTACAGATCAGCGGTGCAGACTTACCTGGTGTGTAGTAGTAGAGGAGGAGAAAAAAACCAGAAAGGGGCCAAATTCAGGAATATTCTTCAGAGCTACCATCAAATTCAGGCTCAAATGAATCTACGGGGAGCAAAGGTTTAGAGTTTCAAGTTTCCATCTGGAGCTATTTCTGTGCCCCTCTAGATGAACTTTCACATCTGGATACTGCACACCTGGACACCCGCCCTAGATACATATTCATACTGATACTGCTATTGCAACAGTTATAACCTACTCTCTCCCTTCCTCCTCCCCCTTTATGGTGCTGGCTATCAAACCTGGTGCCTTATACACTAAGCATATGCCTAGGAGATGGGCTATACCCCAACTCCCCCCCCCCCGGGAATTATTGAATTGGCTGGGAGACGAATTGACATCATTGTCTACCTAGTGGCACAGGAATAAACATCCGAGTTGTGATGTTTATTTAACAACTGCATTGGACGAACCTTGAAGTGGAGAGGCCATCCCTTACGGGAAACAAAAGGAGCTTTGGCAACTCGGTGCTCAGCCTTGGGTTACAGGCACGAAGGCAGGGTCAGTTGGCTGGGAGGAGACTTTCCTCCCAGCTTTCAGACAGGCTTGGCCTGTTCGAGGATCTGAACTGAAAGCATAGACAAAACAGATCCAAGTATGGGGCTGGATCATCCCACTGATGGCCATGAACCCCTGCAAAGCCTCATCAATGGACCTAGGTTCTTCTCACGGTGTTAACATGGTCCCTCCTCCCTGCAGCCCAGTGCAGGCTGCGCACAGCCACAGCCTCCAGGAACAAGGAGAGTGACAGGGTGTGGGCCTGCTTATCTCGGAGGAGAAAGTTCTGCTGGCTTCCTGGAGACGACAAAAAGTTACTCAAGCAAGCACAGCTGAGATGTCGCTCTTGTTTCTGAGGCTGGCTATCTCCCAATGCCACCACCACTTTCGAATCCCCCATCCGCTGCTCACACACAGAGGAAGCCTCACTGCCACACTGCCTCTTTTCTGGGGGTCCTAAAACTTGCCCACACTGTCCAGTTTCATTTGCCTCTTTGTAAAGATTTAACTTCATTATTTTTAAGTGTGTGTGTGTGTGTGTGTGTGTGTGTGCAGGTGCCTGTGGAGGCCAGAGGCATCCGATCTCTTGGAGCTGGAGTTATAGCCACCTGACAGGGGTGCTGGGCCCTGAACTCTGTCCACCACAAGTACAAAACTAAGCCATTGCTTCAGCCCCCTCCCCCTTAACTTATAATAGCCACTGTGTCCATTCCAGACAGAGCCACTCAGGCTGTGTGGTGATCTGTGCATGCAATCCCAGATCTTGCTAGGTGAAAGTAGGAGGCTTACAAGTTAGTTTGAGGCAAGCCAGAGCTGCATAGTGAGGCACTGTCTTGGAAGAACAAGAGCCAGGGAAGTGGCTCAGTGGCGAAGCATTTGTCTGGCACGTGAGAAGCCCAGCCCGGGGGTTCAGCAATGCAGAGAGAGACGAAAAGACTCACCTCACTTCATATCCACTGCGTTCCTGTCTCTGCCTGATGCTGTCAGCATGTTTCCTTGAAAATACATCGGAAACAACTGATATGCCTATATAAACGAAATAAGTGGTGATCCAACTTATTTCGGATGAGCTTCATACACAAAGGAATTGTTTAAAGTGGCAATTTCGTGCAGTGCTCTATTCACAGCCAGGAAACCCCAACGTCCCATTGTCTGTATTCTACTCAGCATTCATCGGCTTTAGCAACGTGCCTTCGCTGTGGGTTACACACCTTCGTAACGCCCCTGCAAAGCAAATATAAATATGGGGGATGAGAAGCCTGGTGTAAAACACACTGTGAAATCAGAAACCGACCCGAAAAATCTGAATTTGCAAAAATAACATCAGCTTCAACAGTAAAACCAGACAGAGAACAAGTTTTACCAAGCAATCCGGCTTCTGTGAAGTTGTACTCTATTGCTGGACTTGAAGAGGCAGTTGATTGTGTTCTTAGCAAGTCAACTGCTGTCAGGAAGAGTGAAAAATATCCCCTTTGTAGCTGGACTTTCTGTAAAAAAGCAAAGGTTGAGACTTAGGTAGTATTCCAGGGCTAGGAGCCTGAGTCAGGTGAACCTTACGTTAAAGGCTAGTCTGACTCTGTCTCAAACCAAACCAAACAACAAACAAACAGAAAACCAGAAAATCAAAACAAAACAAAAGCCACATTGACCCATGTTTAAGAATATTAACACAGCTGGGCAGTGGTGGCACACACCTTTAATCCCAGCACTTGGGAGGCAGAGGCAGGCGGATCTCTGAGTTCGAGGCCAGCCTGGTCTACAGAGTGAGTCTCAGGGCAGCCAGGGCTGCGTAGAGAGACCCTATCCAAACAAACAATCAAACAATTTTAAAAACTGAAGGAAGAAAAATGCCCTGTTTAGTATGTTAAAGTTTATTATTTTGCTTTTGCTTGCATCTATTCTTGTATTTGTTTAAAGTGTTCTATAATAATGCTTCCTTATCCTTCTGTTTCTCCTCTTCCTATGAGGGAAAATGCAGATGTTTACGCTCTTACCCAAAATCCTTCGGGGCAGATAGAAGCCAAACCCAGGCTGGGATGCCACTCAGTGGTAGGCCACCTGTCTGGCAGGCACAGGCTCCGGGTTCCTTTCCCAGTGCAGTAGACCATCACAGCCCAGCTGTGTGCCATTCCCCTCAAAATGACAGAATCTGTGAGCGTTCATCTGTGTTCTGCGGGTGACTGTGTATGTGCTTACGCCTCTGGGCACGTGTGGGAGCCAGAGGTTGGCAGTGAGTTACTTTTGTTATATTCTCTACTGCCTGGCACTTACATGGGCGCTGGGTCTGAAGTCCAGAACTCATGCTCACAGGGCACAGGTTTTACTGACTGGACCAGCTCCCTACCACTTACGTAACTTCCATCTCCTCACTTTCTATTCTCAGCTGACTTCACTCGGAGAAATACCAGCATTCTTTTACTTCCTCAAACTCACTAAACCACGGTTTTCCATCAACCCTTACCTGTCTTTAAATTCAATGGGAACCCCCATCGGAGGCTTCCTGAAGGCCAGCCACCTCACGGGTGCCCCCACTGGATCTAATCAGGTCTTCAGGGTCATCTTCTCCCACCCTGTACTACTCCTTCCGCCCTTGTCCCTGTTTGTCACCATGCCGTCCTCTGACGTGGCCGGGTCTGGTGATCTTCTCCCTCATTAGTTTGAGCACAGTTGTCCCTAGCGAGTGCTGGGAAGCGTTCAGATGGGGGGCTTTTTGTGTTATGCGTGAACTACTGCTGGAGGTTCGCCAAGGTCAACGGTGACTTTGTTTTTACTGTTTCTGGAATCACCTTTCCTATCACAGCCTGAATGAACACTGCAGCTGACTGTCCAAGGTTGGCCATGGAGGAAGATGTCTGTAGGAGATTTAAAGACACAGCAAGCCAGAGTGGAGTGCGGGGGTGTTGGGGAGGGAGGTTATTGGCTGAGAATGCCAAGTTTAACTGTTATCCCAAGATTTAACTTTTGATCCAAATAAAAAAGAGGACTTCATTATATCGGTCTACAGACATGAAAAAGGACAGCAATAAAAAATATATATATATATTTTTAAAATCTTAACTTCATGGGGCTGGAGAGATGGTTCAGTGCTTAAGAGCTCTGCTCTTCCAGAGGTCCTAAGTTCAATTCCCAGCAACCACATAATGGCTAACAACCATCTGTAATATGATCCAATGCCCTCTTCTGGTGTGCATGAAAACAGTATACTCAGATACATAAAACAAATAAATAAATCTTTAAAAAAAATCTTAACATGAATATGGTGGTTTAAAAGAGAAATGGCCCCATTGGCTCTCATATATATTCCAAATACTTGGTCCTAGTTGGTGGAACTGTTTGGGAAGGACTAGGAGATGTGGCCTTGTTGGAGGAAGTGTGTCACTCGGGGTGGGCTTTAAGTTTTCAAATGCCCGTGCCAGGTCCAGTCTCTCTCTGGACCTCCAACTTCCGGATAAAATCTAAGCTCTCAGCTACTGCTCTGGGCCATACCCGCCTCCTGCCACACAGTGCTGACCGTAGACCCGCCCTCTGAAACTGTAAGCAAGCCTCCGAGTAAGTACTTTCTGTTATAAGTCGTGCTTTGGTCATGGTGCCTCTTCACAACAATAAAACTGCTGTGGATGGTGAATGAAAATGTAACACTCTGTATGAAATGCACAATAAAACAAACAACAGCACCAACAACCACAGACAGGGTGGTGAGGAGCACGAGCTAGTCTCCCGGAGGACCTGCATCAACTCCTGACACCCACATGGCGACTCTCACTGTTTATAAGATCCAATGCCGGGCTGTTGGTGGTGACCCACGTCTTTAATCCCAAAACTCGGAGGCGGAGGCAGGGAGATCTCTGAGTTTGAGGCCAGCCTGATCCACAGAGCAGTTCTAGGTCAGCCAGGACTATACAAAGAAACCCTGTCTCAAAACAAACAAACAAACAAACAAACAACAAACAAAAGATCCAAAGCCTTTTCTGACCTCTGCAGGCACCAGACACACACACGCAGGCCAAATGCCCACATGCCTGAATAATTTTGAAAAACGTAGAAGAGTAATGTTAAATAATAAAAATAAAACCTGCCAGGGCATGGTAATCCACTCGTGTCACCCAGCCATGATACAGTGGTGCATGCCTGTAATCTAACACTTGGCAGCCTGTAGCAGGAGACTGCCAAGAGCTTGAGGATGGTCTAGGCTACATAATGAATTCCAGACCAGCCTGGGCTACGGAGTGAAACCCAGTCTCAAGACCAAACAAATGAACAACAGATCAAACTCAACTTCCTTGTTTTTCTGTTCTTTTTGATGTGAGCTTTATATATATGTTTTTTTTTTTTGGGGGGGGGAGGTGATTTGGTTGTTTGGTTGGTTGGTTAGTTGGTTTTGCTTAACATTGTTTAAAAGCATCTTCTTGGGCTTGGAGAACGGCCCAGTACTTCCGATCTGTTGCTATTCCTCCAGAGGATGAGATTGAGTTCACAGTCCCGAAATGATGGTTCATGAACAACTCTAACTCCTGCTGCAGGAGAGCTGACACCTTCTTTTGGATGTCATAAACATGTGTATGAATACCTCCCCACATACACATAATCTTAAAAATAATAAAGCATTTTTATAAAAAAACATTTCCTCAGTGGGTAGGGTGACACGTGCCTTTGGTCCCAGTGCTTGGGGACAGAAGCATATGAATCTCTACGAGTTTGGGTCCAGCCTGGTCTACAGAGTGAGCTCCGGGCCAGGCAAGTACTACATTGTGAGTCCCTGTCTCAAAAAACAAAACAAAGCAAAAAACAACAAAACAAAAAAATAAAAACAAACACCCTCCCCTCCAGTATTTTCTCAGGGTCTTAGGAACTTCAAAAGCATGGTCCTTGGCAGCTGGGGGGGGGGAAGGGTAGGATGGCGCAGTGGATAGCGAGCCTCCATGGCTGGAGGCTTGAGTTTGTTCCTAAGACCCACCTCACTTTTATTTTGAGATGGTCCCCCTTTGTAGACCAAGGTGGCCTCAAAATCACAGAGATACACTGCCCGTGTCCCCCAAAGGCTGCCATTATAGGAGTGCATAACCATACCTAGTTAAAACTTTACGTAGCCCCGGCCATGGCTAGGTAGACCAACCTGGCCTTGAATTTAGAGATATTTTCCCTGTCTCTGCCTCTTGAGTGCTAGGATTAAGGGAGTATGCCCTCATACACAGCTAAAACATCTTAATGATTTCACTCATTTTTTTTAAAACTGGGAGAATAAGTTCAACATATTTAACCACAACTTTAAAATATTATTATTAGACCAAATGGTTGGCACATGCTTTTAATCCCAGCACTGGGGAGGCAGAGGCAGGTAGATCTCTGAGTTTGAGGCCAGCCTGGTCTACAGAGTGAGTTCCAGGACAGCCAGGGCTGCACAGAAAAACTGTGTCTTGAAAAAAAGGGGGGGGGGAATAAAGAAAAAGATTATTATTATTAAGTCAGTGTTTAAATAATTCAGGTAATACTCTTTATTTGAGTAAGCATATTTTCATCTATAAGTTGTCACCACTTGTTTGGTCTTATAAACAACATTGCATCTTTGCAAACCTTTGTACATATCTTGGGTCATTGTCTTAGGACAGTTTAACAGGAATAGAGTTGCCATCCCTCTCCAAGCACTTTTCCTGGAAGGGGTACCTCTTCACCATCCTGCTAGCAAGGGTGAGGATGGCCGCTGTACTGCATGAGGCTGGCCAGTGCCCTGCAAGCTTGTTGCTGATGGATATTCTTTTTTCTTTTTAAACTTTTTAATACAAGTTTTATAGATGGAAATGGTACCCGGGTTTTTTTTTTAATTTGCATTTCTTTTGTTACTACTGAAGTAGAACTTTTCCCCATGTGTCTTTTAGCACAATGTTTCCTCTTTTGTGAACTGCTCAAGTTCATGGTTTTTTTTTTTAAGTGGAGTTTTTGATATAGTATGTATTATAAATCTGACCAATTACTCTGGATTCTATCGCTTTCCTCACACACCTGACTCTTAGCTTGCATGGCTCTGCTGCTCATGACCTGGAAAGCAGCCTTCTGGATAAAGTGGAAACGGACAGACTTACAGAAGTAACGTATAGGTAATTGGAAGGGGGCTCTTCAGAGAAGCGAGGGGTGAATAAAGGGGGCCAATATAAAACCATACACTTCTGAAAGGGACATCAGCAGCTCCAACAGCTAGGAAAGTTGACAAATGGAGTCCTTTTTGAGAATTTTCAAGCTTTTATAAATCTGCAAGTCGGGCAAGGGGTGTGACTCTCTTCATAATAGACTTGTTTAGCATGCATGAGGCCTTGAGTTCGAACCCCAGTACCATTGAAACCAGGCAAGATAGTGTACCTACACAATCTGAGCATGTGGGAGTAGAAGCAGGAGGGTCAGGAGTTGCAGACCATCCTCAACTATCCCAGGATGACTTGAGGCCCTGTCTCAGAACAAACAAACAAACAATGGGCAGCCACCATCTACTTAGCCAAGAAAAAGAATAAGTAAATTTAAGATGTCTTCATCAAGTAGGGATTAGATATTAGCACAGGCTAGCCAGCTCTGAAACAAATGGTTGAGAAAAATGTGTATGTGGTTCCAGGTAGTTTCTCGTCTTTAACTGACATGTTTAAGTAAGAACGGGATGGGCAGGACAAGTGATTTAGTTTTTAACCAGACCATGGAAGGGGAGAGATGTGATTTCACAGCACCATGACATCACCAGTCATCCAGCTACTTGTGAATCAGAGCCTCTTAGCATGCAGGGAGTGCGCGCCGGCATGAGCGGGAATCCCACAGAAGTCAGGCTTTGAGGCTGAAGGTGAGCGTGGGGAATACCAGACCGGAACCTGACATTTCATGCTGCTTTCCTAACACATCCTTTTCAAAGAAACAAGAACTGAAATGCAGGTTGAACAGGCATGCAAAGCAGGCCGCTATTTCAGTCTGAATCATGAGCAGGGCCATGGTGGGCCATGTGAAACTAGGGTCAAAAGGAAACTGAACACTGGGCCGTGATGAAGACTTGAAACTGTCCGAATAACTGGACACTCTTAGGCACTAGCTATGCTGGGAGCTGGGCCAGAGGGGAGACCT